GCAACGAAACTCTCGATGCAGTCAATTTTCTATTTTTTGAAATCGATAGCCACAATATTCGCTACATTAATCTTGCAGCATGATTGACTGAATGTAAAATAGCAGTCTCATTTATTTTCTCAGCTTCACTCATGTGCCAAGATCAAATATTTTTGTATACGATTTTTGCTATTTAATCAAATTTATATGGATGAGATTATTTTTGAGGAAGGCTTGCGATAATGTAACTGAATTAAGTGTCTTAGAAAATCTATAAAGAAAGGTTTATCAAGCAAATACTGCTTCAGCAAATTTGATTACATATTAATCTACCCGCTTCACCTTTATTTTACAAGTTTGACGAGGTTCTAAAACTGTGGCTAAGATCAATACCATTCTATGGCTGAATTTTTTTCTAACGTTCTAAGAACGAATTATTACTGTAAGCTTCTTTCTTGGTGTCTTCTTAATGTTTTTTCTATTACAGTGGCTTCTCAGCCGAGACAAAAATATCGTCAAATCTTATCGCTCTACTCGTTTTCGTCGACGAGAAAATGCGCTCTCTGTCACTCACTGCAGTGAGTACTGAGTTATATATTTTTATTTCAGTGTATGCAGACTCGAAAAGTGTCACGAATGGTCCAATTATAGCTTATTAATCGATTCTTAATCAAAACAAAATGAATTCTCACGGTATTGATCTTACTTCATTCCCTGCATTTTTTGTCGCACTTGAGTTACTAATCTGTCAAAACCTTTTCGATTGTTCCGACTGGGAGGAGAATCGTATTGTTTCAGTTTATTTCTAACCTGAAGTATTGTTTCAGTTTATTTCTAACCTTTTTAAATATTTTTAATACTCCTCCGGTATGTTTTTGAAAGGAAAACACAAGTTTGCAATAATTTCTTTCGTAAAATCTTTAAAATCACGTAAAATTCATCAGTTTATTAAATTAAATTGTACTTTCAAGCAAACCTACATGGAGACTCGTCAGGGAAGTTAGTTACGGTCAATTCATGTACAGCCCCAGCCACCACCGTCACTGCACCTGGAGGTGAACTTTCGTTCTACCATCGCGTTATTTCATCAATTTGTGACGATTATGCTATAAACGACGAATATTTTTGAGGAAGCGAAAGTCTATGTTTTGAGGACCATGATTTTCTTACACTTTCAGTGTGCCTAATTCTGAATTTATATAGTTTAGTTATAGATTTACATTTTCTCACCACACTTATGTTCTAATGCTATGTCTTTTCAGCGAACTAACTAGCAAATAACTATAGATAACAAAATACCTGGTAGCAAAGTAGCTAGTAACAAGCCTAGCATCATTGCTTGTAGTGTGCAAGTTTTCTAACAATGTCTGTCTAGATTTTATTTTTATTACGCACCCTTAACTATATAATGAAACCTTAATTATATTGAATGTCAGTAGAGGTATTACGAGCTAATTTCTCAAACATAGAACTAAGCATGGCCTTGCGGTTCAGAATGAACCTCAGGCGTCCTGCACTTCATATTCATAGAGCGTTCGTGTGAGATTTTTCCATAGCGTACGTGTAAACTCTTCTATAATGTAGGAAAATTATGCCCACGTGAGATTTTATTTCTCTACTTACTACTTAATTATGCTTCATTCCATAATTAAGGGACATATCTAGGAGTATTAAAGCCTCATAGATCCTGAATATTTACCAGCAACGCCAAATGAAAGCTAAGTTTCTCACTTTTTTCTCCAAAGGAGTTTGAATATAATGTATCTAACTACAACAGTTCCTCTCTTTGACCAAAAATTGTGAAATTGCAACGTCTGGCAAGTGTATCTCTACCTGCAACGCATTGCCGAACCATCACAAATCAAGTTCTCACATCTCAGAACTATAATAAGATTGTTTTCGCCAGGCTTTCTCAACTAGTGTTTAAAGTCTCATTGTAATTACAGCTCGTTATTTCCTCACCATATTTGTTCATACAAACTCGCCTTTATTTATTTACCAATTTAAATAATTAAAAATGTTATATTTAGTTGTTTAAACGTGTCTGCCCTCTGCATTCTTTACTTAAGGCAATAACTATTGACCATGTACGTGACATTGACGTTTGGGCATAGCGCATTGTAGCTGTTCAGCAGAGCGGCATGAAGAATTGTGTGAATATTGAGCGCTAGAATGACATGTTTCATCACTATAATGCCATCATTTATCACTATAATAAAATCATTTATCACCAGAATGCCATAATTTATGACTATAGAATGCCATCATTTATCACCAGAATGCCATAATTTATCACTAGAATGCCCTAATTTATCACTAGAATGCCATCATTTATCACCAGAATGTCTTAATTTATCACCAGAATGCCATAATTTATCACTATAATGCAATCATTTATCACTAGAATGCATCTTTTATCACTAGAATGCCATCATTTATCACTAGAATGCCATCATTTATCACCAGAATGCCATAAATTATCACTAGAATGCCATTATTTATACCCAAAATACCATCATTTATCACTGGAATGCCATCATTTATCATCACAAGGCTATCATTTATCACCAGAATGCCATCATTTGTCACCAAAATGCCATCATTTATCACCAAAATGCCATCGTTTATCGCTAGAATGCCATCGTTCATCACCAGAATGCCATAATTTATCACTAGAATGCCATCATTTATCACCAGAATGCCATCATTTATCACCAGAATGCCATCATTTATCACCAGAATGCCATCATCTATCACCAGAATGCCATTATTTATCACCAGAATGCCATCATTTATCACTGAATGCTATCGTTTATCATCAGAATGCCATCATTTATCACCAAAATGCCATCATTTATCACCAGAATGCCATCATTTATCATCAGAATGCCATCATCTATCACCAGAATGCCATCATTTATCACCAAAAATGCCATCATTTATCAACAGAATGCCAGCGTTTATCACTAGAATGCCATCATTTATCACCAGAAGGCCGTCATTTTGTAAGGATTTTACACAGTCGAGTTTGGAATTTTTAAAAGTTTATTTAATTAATGAAAAGAGAACAAGGAACTTTGGGAGGAAGCAGCAACGGCGCATCCACATATAGTTAAGATTTCATTTATTTTGAACTCATTAAAAGGCTGCAAACTGCTCTTCTGGTAACAGCGCAAAAGTTAAGATGGTTTTGGTTCCAAAGCAGGCTTAGTTCCGAGCGGAGCAAAATACGTGGTCTTCAGGTCAAGTCTCCTTAGCGCAGTGAAGTAGTCATGACGCCAGACGACGTACACGTGACGTAAAAAAACGTCGCAATGGGAAAAGGCGCATCCACTGCAGGACCCGAAACTTGAATGTTGATTCTAGAAAGAAATATAAATTTTATCAGACTTGCCTAAGGATCGATCAGGCAAACTAATGACACGATAATTTCAGAATTGGTACAAAGATATTAACACATTAAACCAACCTGAGGTTTTTAATGCCCAGTGAATTGATGAAGAGTTCTATTTGATGAAGTGAATGAAGAATTTAATTTTAGAAATTCAGCGGAAATCAGTAGGAGGAGTAGGAAGTTGGACGGAAGAAGACAGTAAGAATAGTTAGAGGTTTTACTGCGTGTTGAAAGAAGAATAAAGACTTAAATTAGGATGGCAAAAACCGTAACAGTATAATAAACTGCCGACGCAAATTGCACATGCCCATTTCTTGTAAATAGATTTATTTTAATACAATTTAATATAGATTTGATATATAGTTTGATATA